CAAACAAATGTTGTAAATCGCTACCAGGCTTTCTGATCCACACTTTACACCAGTGGCAGTAGTTCACCAATTAGCGTCGCTGTTTTTCCCAGGCTTCACGTCTTCGGATCACAACCAGCCACGGTGGGTCTTTTATTTTGAAGAACCGGCCGTGTTTTGATAACGGCTGCGGAAGAAGCTGTCATTTACGCTGCTCCAGCCGAGCCGCAGTTTCTCAGCAAAAAACCGACGCGAATCAAACGACAAATGTAACTGCTTCACCCGAGGCCACAATGGGATTTACACTGAGACGCTTTCTTGGTGGTAAACCGTCGAAAGCACCCCTGCTGCTGCCTTTCCTGCTCACGTTGCTGCTCGTCGGGAGCCGAGGCGACAGCAATGCGATGGACAACGTCGCAACTGAGAGGATGGCTGAGGAAAGCCACCGACAGGACAGTGCCAATCTGCTTATATTCATAATGCTCCTGACGCTCACCATTTTAACCATATGGCTCTTCAAACACCGCAGATTTAGGTTCCTGCACGAAACTGGACTGGCCATGATCTATGGTGAGGACGGTACCGTTAGCTAGCAGCTAGTTAACTCAGCGGTAATGCTAGCTGGCTATGAAGCCGTCCGTTAGCGCCTTAAACTTAACCAGTAAGCTAGTTCCACTGGTTATTTTCAGGTGTGGAAGCAGACAAGTGTTCGTGTATAACAGAGTAATAATATTGTCTTAATATAAATAACCTATAGCATATACATTACACGATAATTACATTGGGATTGTCACTATGTGGTCCTTAGATCATCTCATTGTGTCAGCTATTTACCGACAGAATACAGTGCAAGGTAATATTACTAGCAGTTGAAACTGATGGTAAACATAAAAAACTGTTGTTACAGCAACTAGCTACACAGTGTGTAGTGAGATTCTCTGATGGATCAGTTGGCTAAGGAGGAGACACTAAGGTTTAACTTCTTCCCCAGTCGATTATTTAAGGCAATGACTTAAGTTATCTGAACATGTATGTTTAAATATGCAAACGCCCTAATTTGCATGAAATTTCACTACACAAATCTCAATATTGTATGAAGCCACCTTCAATTTTTTTTAAAAAATTTAAATTTAAAATCCATGATCGCCATATTTTTACTAGTTAAATGTTTCTATCAACCATGCTTTGAATAATATATGAACAAGATCCATCAGTAAAAATCTTCAGAATATTGATGGGAGATAGAACCAGAAAGTTTTGTGTCTGTAAGGGCTACTGAAGCAGTGATCTGTGGCTCAGGGTATAGGGAAAATCTAATTCTGAGAAAACTGCCTGAGAAATCTATGCAAATACACAAAGTCTAGTAAAAGAACCACCCAAATGTGTATTTGGGGTGTTTTCTTTCCATTAGTTTTAGAGAAGACATGTTATGGAAGCAAATATCCCATCCATCCATTATCTATACACCGCTTAATCCTTGCTAGGGTCGTGCTGGGGCTGAAGCCTATCCCAGCTGACTCAGGTCGAAGGAAGGGGACACCCTGGACAGGTCGTCAGTCTATTATAGGGCTACACAGAGAGACAAACAACCAAGCACACTCACATTCACACCTACAGACAATATAGAATCACTGAATAAGGGTTAGGATTGGGGTTATGTTTAACCCTCAGCATGTTTTTGGAAGCCGGAGAACCCGGAGAGAACCCACAGGGCACAGGGAGAACATGCCCATGCCAAAATTGATCAGTGCATGTAAAAACAATGTTTTTGCCTGTAGTGTCTTAAAGCCCCTTTTAGTACAATGAACATGCTCCAATTAATATTTGTTTCCTGTAAGGCTCCCATCTAATTAAAATAAGTAGCACAACCAAGTGATTCCATTGTTTTAAATAGAATCTCACCCTAAATCCCTGCACGAAGGATAGTTACTCACTCCAAATCCTTTCCTTCCTTCTTTGCCTTCACTTCCTGTCTTCTCATCCTCCCTAAAGGCCTGTTGGTGGGTGTGATCCTGCGGTTTGGCATCCACGTGCCCCAAAGTATGAGCGACGTGATCCTCAGCTGCGCCGTCAACGCCAGTCCTGCCACTCTGCTGGTCAATGTCAGCGGGCGCTTCTACGAGTACACTCTGAAGGGCGAGGTCAGCCGCGGCAAAGGTCACCAAGTGCAGGACGATGAGATGCTGAGAAAGGCAAGAGGATGAACATACGGGTGGATGAATGGAGGGCGCAAGTGGTTGTTTTTGCTGCATTTTTTTCAACCTAGCATATGAGATTACCAGCTACTAGGTGCTAAATGACAGGAAAAATGTATCCCATAAACTGATCAGTAAATTTTCTTTCAGATGCTGTTGAATTTTGCCTGGGTGACTGTGTAATGTGCACACCTATCTGACGTTCTTGAGGGTCTAGAGAAAGTTGGAAAGGTGTGCCAAGTTCAAACAAGTGTTTTAACTAACTTGCCGTTGTCTTTAGGTAACCTTTGACCCAGAAGTGTTTTTCAACATTTTACTGCCTCCCATCATCTTCCATGCGGGTTACAGTCTGAAAAGGGTAAGATGGTCAAAAAGATTTATTGATGTAACACACAGAAGCAAATATAGATGACATAATTATTAACTTAAAAAGAGGTGTAAAGAACATTTCCATGCAGGGCAGTGAGATGTTTGATATTTCTACATTTGTTTTATCCTATACTGACATAACATTTTTTTATGATTAGAATTAATACATTTCAATAAACCTGTGCCCTTGTCTTTCTCAGAGACATTTTTTCAGAAACATCGGCTCGATCCTGGCTTATGCTTTCATGGGAACAGTTATATCCTGCTTTGTTATTGGGTAAGTCGATTGGTTGTCTCTGAAATCACCCACTATTCCTTACATCCTGCTTAAAGTAAATAACAGAATGAAGATTTTACCAGTTTGTTGAATAACCCAAGTGCTGCCAGTGTCTTACATGTATCCACGTCCCTCTTTCCTCCCAGACTCATCATGTATGGCTTTGTGTCCTTCATGAAAGTCGTGGGCCAGCTTGGAGGAGATTTTTACTTTACCGACTGCCTCTTCTTTGGGGCCATTGTTTCAGCAACAGACCCTGGTAGGTAGTTCCATATCTGCTTCCAGCACCCATATCCATTAACAGACAAGAAGATAGGTGTTTGATTTGCACCGTGCGGGACTGTATGATTTTTTACTTCTGTCTGTGAGTGTGACTATTATGAAAGCAGCATTCTAGTTATGAGACAGTCTGTTTGAGGGCTTTCTGTGCTCCTGTCCTGCTTTACAGTTTTGTGTTTGTCCTATGCTCTTAAGTGTTTTTTCCTCCTCTGTGTCTCAGTGACAGTGCTGGCTATCTTCAATGAGCTAAAAGTAGACGTTGACCTGTATGCTTTACTGTTTGGGGAGAGTGTCCTCAACGATGCTGTGGCCATCGTCCTCTCCTCGTAAGTATCGACTACATGGTGCGGACACATACCTTCACATAGCCTATTCAGCTGCATTTTTCTATGTGTGAGTCACCAGATTAACACAAGCTCATGTTGAGGGATAGGTTCACTGTTTTTCAAGCCTGTCTGAGTTACTAGTTGGTGTAATCTTTCCCTCTGCTCATACTAGTTGTGAAGAGAGTCCTTCCTGTCTTTCTGTGTTGAGCAGAAGTGATAGGGGATAAAGTTCACAGCCCTCTTTGTGCAAAAATGTGCTCTTAAGTTCGGGAAGCTCACGTAAGGCGACAACAGTCAAAGTTAGATAAATCAGCTGGGTGTTTTTAAAAAAAATGAAGTTACTTATTTTTTTGTTTCCCTAGACAATGTGTTTTTGCTAAACTGCTGCTAAAGGAGAGGAAAAAAAAGAGACTGGTAGTTTTAGTTAAACTTTAGGGACCGTGGTTTAGTTCTTGACCTCTTAAATGAGAATACGCATCAGGAAGGAATCTTTTCATGCACAAAGGGAACAATTACAGCAGCCACTAAAGTCTTGAAATCAGTGTAGTTTGTAGTTCTAAGCTAATGACCCGTGCTGTAATGGGGTTAACTATAGCAAACTCAGCCTTTTGTGTTGTATGTTGCACATGACTGGACATTAATCATACTAACATCAATCCCTGTCATTTCACTGCTTGCCTCTCTCCATCCATCTGTGTCATTCATCGCCTGCCTGTACGTATGTATGCAGTGTTCTCCTACGCTTGGAAAAGCAGGCTAGGCAGGGGGCCGGAGCTGTGCGCTCCACGGGAGATGATGGCCCAATCTGGCCCGAGGGGGCGGAGGAATGGCTGGGAGAAAACCAGACATTGACTCCTCGGTGGGTGGGCTGGTTGGATGCATTGCTGCCGTTGTAGCTTTAGAACCTCTCAGCTGATGCAGTGCAGATCTTTTGTTTAGAATGTAGACCACCACCCCAAAGGATAATCGTTGTCCTCCCCTGCACCCCCTGCCACTGCAGCTCTTTCATATCCATTTCTTGTATCATTTTCATTCCTTTTTATGTTCTATAGACCCTGAAAATGATCACAAAATGCATTTTTTTTGTTAAGGTTTTAGTCATTTAGATGTGTAAGAGATTTATGACTGTTGATTATTAAGCAAAGTAGCTCAAGAGATGCAATTAGAATTAAGCATGCAAGACTTCCTCCCTTTTTGACTGTAAAACCCAACTCCAGCTGATGTGTGTTGTCTGTGGGACCATTTTAAAAGGTACTGGAATGACTCTAAAAACATCTAATGCCTCACCTTGGATTTGGGTTGCTGCAGCTTTCATTCAATGCGTGACTTTATCTTGAAACTCTTTCTGTTTCTGTTTTTACCTGAGCATGTGTTTGACCACTTTCCTTTCCTGGATTCTTTGTACGTGATTACTTCCTTTTTTGTGTAAATATCCGTATTTGTATCCATTCTATCTGCCCTTTAGCTCCATTGTGGCGTACCAGCCTGCAGGTGACAACAGCCACAGTTTCGAAGCCATGGCTATGTTGAAATCGTTCGGCATCTTCCTGGGCGTCTTTAGCGGATCTTTTGCTCTTGGAGTTGCTACCGGAGTAATGACTGCTTTCATATCCTTTCACCTGCTGCTTATCATTACATAATGTCTAGATTCATATTAACAGGTGTGCGTAAGAGGAACAGAAGAAAACCACACGGTTCAAAACAGTCGCCCTACTTTTAACTTGCTGTTTAACCACTGTAGCCTGAACTGTATCCGCATTTATTTGCCTTCTTCCCTCTCTTGATTGTCGCACTTTACTGCAGCTTGTCCTTTGCATGTCGTTTGTATTCATACATGTATCTCTGTGGTCACTTGGACTGCAGATTGACTTGATGCGCCACCTCTTGTTTTGCTCCTTAACTTTCATGTTTCCTCACGTGACCAAGTTCACTAAGCTGAGAGACTTCCCCTTGCTGGAGACGGCTCTCTTTTTCCTGATGTCCTGGAGCACCTTTCTGTTGGCTGAGGCCTGCGGCTTCACAGGTACCAGCATCCAGGATTCACAAATGCAGTTTGGACAGCATACGATGTGTGTCAGAAACGTTTCAGGACTGGTGTCACAAAAGATATATTTCAAATACAAACTACAAGTTTTTCCCCTTCGAAGTAATCCCTCTGGAGTCTCGGAGCACAGCCATGTTCTTCTCAGCCAGGAACTGTCAGATGCTCAGGGCATTGTAAGCAGCCACGACTTGTCCTGCCACAACTCTCACTTCTTCTTGCGCACTGAACGAAGCAGGATCTCTTTGTAGACGTGCTGGTTGATCGTCTGAAGGGGGAAACTAGTTTGTGGTTTGGGTTTGAACTATATCTTTTGTGACACCAGTCCCGGAACTTTACACCTCGTAGATTTTAACTTTGTGGTCGACTTTTAATAAAACATACAATTCATTTAATGACAGTTTAGACATTTTAGATTTTTTTCTCTGATAAATATTTACCGTGATCTTTCATCCAGCACCCACATACTTTTAGCTGCAGTAGTGAAACTTCACTTAAAAATGATGACACTGTTCTTAATACACTAACAAAGGATGAATCATCCACACCAGCGCAAATTAAATCATCTAACACGAACCCTCAAGCTACACGACTGCACAGGAATCTGATAATACTGGTTTATCACAGTTTATTGGTCTCAGATCTGTTATTCTTCTCAACAGTAAGAATAGACAAGGACTCGAGCTTTCTTTACTTGCTCACGGAACTAATTTTCTATCCATCCATTGTCACATTGAAGAAAATTGTAATCTGTCTGTCTTTCGGTACTTTTTTATTCTGTCTGTGGCTCTCAAGATAGTTGCTTCTTGGTGAAGAAAGAAAAAATGCTCCAAAGAAAACTTGCTAGTTATTAAACCTGTAGTCACTCACATTTCAACCAGCCCATGTCAGCAGGTTCACCAGATTTACTTCAGCAAAATGCCTTGAAGCCCCACCTGTATATGCTAACTCCATGTGCTTTGAGTGACGCTGATGTGAGATGAATCTTTGTGTGTTTTTCAGGTGTAGTAGCTGTGCTGTTCTGTGGAATCACTCAGGCCCACTACACCTATAACAACCTCTCACCTGAATCACAGGACAGGACCAAACAGGTGAAATGCTTTTAATTTGATCCTGTTGTTCCGACTTCTTTTTAAACTGATTTTGTAAGGACCCAAAGAAACAGAATTTAAAAAAATAAAAAGGCAACACATAGAAAATTCTTAGAAGAGAGGACGTTTCGAAACATCCGTGCTTTTTGGCAGTTGTGCAAACATCAGTTATATTTTTAATAAGTAGCAGAAAGTTCTTAGAAGCTGACATCATTTATACTGTGACGTAGAGCGCAAACACATCGAGATCTGAGTGCAGTTGAACATAGACGTTTTCAATAACGTCAGCTACTGGCAGCACATAGAAGCTAAATATCAGTAGAAATGCGTATTATTTCATGATAGTTTGTGGATGTTAGCACGGCACTGTGTTTCTCATGGGTTGCATAGATTCTGAACGACAAGAAGCTTGTGGTCATATGCTCCAAAAGCAGCAGCGAGATCGAGAGCAAAGATAGACATGTTTCTGTCACAATTCCAAGAAGTGATAAGAGCCCTAAAACCAGCCTGCAATCATTTTATGATATGTTGCTAGATATTGCTGCATGATATGTTCTGTTATTTTGAGGACATCCGCTGATACAGTTCAGATCATCTTTAAAAGTTACTAGGACGCATAGTTTGACGATTTTAAGCATGATAGACGAGCAGTTGCTGACAAAATTAACACCAGTCTTGTCTCTTGTGGAAATACCTTTAGTATGAAACACTAACAAATTCACCACAATTTTGGATGTGACAACATTCTGTCAATATATGCCAGCATCTGACAGAGTATAGCTCAGTTTTAGAAGCTCTGTCTATAGATTTATAGACCAGACCATGAATATTTGTACAGTTACACATCTTTAGTTCTATGAGCTCTGTGCTTCAGCAAATTAAAATCAAAATGATAGAATAAAACTGCATTAAACTGTCAAGTCTCTGCTTTAGTTTGTGTGGGTTAACATCAGTTTAGGAAGAGTATGCAAGAGTTATATGTGACCAATGATGATGTAGTGATCATAACAGGACTCTAAAAAGCAGAAACAGAGAGCTGTTAAACATGGGTAGTTAGATGGAATCAGAAGTTGTTTACATAAATAAAAACACACAGGAAATTAGGAAATGACCTGCTAGAGCAAGGAGCACAAGTGTTGTGAATTCGTGGGAAATCATTTGCCTTTGAAGAAAAAGCCCTTTATGACTCCACAGCAAGAATTATTTGCATAATGTAGGAGTTTATGTTTACTTATCAACAGTTAAATGACTTTTTGATCAGAACCTCTGAGTGCAAACCCAGATGAGACTCATACAGAAAAAGGCCAAGTAGCAGTTAGTAAAAACATACAAAAAGAAAAAAGAACTTCACTGCTGAGAGAAGCAACAGGATGAATAGAGACACTCCTCAAGAGCCAAAAGGTGGCTGTAGTGTAGTAGTGTGTATCAGCCATTTATTTTTCACTGCTAAACTTAGGGCACTGTGTGTTGAATGGACTAGATCCCAAACACAGTTCATTATATTTTAGAATAAATGTACTCAAATGAAAGCTGGCACTTTAATGCAGTGTACATTATTTTTTATTATTTTTGAATGGGCTGAAGCAGAGAGCCGTAAGAAAATAATAATAATAATAAAAAAAACACGTAAGTTTCCAAATATTTCCAGTCTGGACTGAATATGACTGGGCAATAAGAACAACTTAATGATACATTTTTATCAGTGTTTTCTGCCTTTTGGCACTGAAAAGGTTATTTGTGTATATATTATAAACTGTAATAAGCTATTTTCCTGGTTACATTTAAAAGCAACCTGAAATACAACTCACTGTTGGTCACTTTTATTTAAATATCAGTTTTAGCGGAATTCTAGTTCCTCTTAATTATTTTGTCCTCTCATCAAAAGTTTTTAAATGCTTCATGATTAACAGTGTAATAGCAGAAACTGTAAAAAATAGGGGATAAAAAAATAAACAAACTGTGTGCTTGTCTCTTCCCTATCAGCTGTTTGAGCTGCTGAACTTCCTGGCCGAGAACTTCATCTTCTCCTACATGGGCCTGACTCTCTTCTCCTTCCAGTCACACGTCTTCAACCCTTTGTTCATCATTGGAGCCTTTGTATCCTTCACTCTGCTTGGTGTTAATGCACTACACAAACAACTCAAAGTCTTTCTGGTGCATCAGAGGGCTGTACTATGAAGTGAGATTAGTGGGTTATTAAGGTAAGTCAGAGTTTTCAGTGTCACAAAGGTGACTCTCTTTTTACTTGGCGAGATCACCATGGTAACTGATGCTGTGGAGCTAACCTGGTTGGGAGCAGGTTATGTTCAGAGTTTCTGGTTTAAATCGGCTGGAAAGAGAGTCTCCCTTTAACCAAATAATTTACTGACTATTTATGAGCGATACAGATTCTCAGCTGAGGGAATGTGTTTTATCTGCAAACATGCTGAGTTGTGCGTTTCTAACATCACTCAATGAAGCCTTGTAGTTACACAATTGCATGCTGTAAACATTGTGTTGCCATGGGAACCTGACATGTATCTAGTTGGCCATGCAGAAATCACATAAATATGTTTGCAGCTGATAGAACATGGATAAGAAATGGATTAATCTACTGGTATTTATTACAGAGAATATTCAATCAATAACATTAATTTCGCTCTGATTTGGCCAAAAATGAAAATTAATTCCTGCATTATGGGACAGCGTCAGACCTAAATGCACTTTAATTCAAGATCAGGTTTAAATATGTTAAGTTTGAAGTTTAACTTTAACGTGCAGCTGTCAGCTGGAAATAAGCGGCTGCATCTGTAAAATATTACATATTACGCATGCTTAACAGTTTTCTACCAGCATTTCTGCCATTTCTGGCTTTTTACTGTCATATTTTTTTTATATTCCTCATTGTTCTCCATTAAAACAACATGTTGACTGAAGCAGCTGCACAAGATCGATTCATTTTGTGCAGAAGAGTCACATGTTGCGTTCAACGTGCACAGAGTTTGAAGGAGAAAGTCCGAGTTGACAAAGAAAGCTGATAACCACCTTCGTGATATTCATTATCCCTGATTGCGACTTTCGTTTTTGTCGAGCCGGCTTCCACAAAGAAAGCCCGCCTATGTCGAACTTGCTTCGTAGTGCAGCCCTCTGGAGGTGACTGTCTTTGTTTTTGTTCCACATAACCACTTGCTGTTTTTTTCCAGGCCCTTGAGTATTTGCTGTGACAGTCCATTTATTTTCAGTCAGCGTCACACCAAACTGTGGCCTGCTCATGTAAACGCAGTATATTCACCTGCTGCTATGACAGATTTTATTACCCCATCAATAAAAATACGTTGTAAAAAATACAATCATGTCCAGATACTAATAGTACATATGCTACTGCCAGCACCCATATTAATGATTGAAAATGTGTTCACTGCGTTACCATGTCCAGTAATAACAGTACAAGCAAATAGAAATTGAAAGCACATTCAAAAGAAAGATTAGTCAACCATGAGATGGAGTTTCCAAACTGCAGTCTACCCACCACTATTTTCCATTCCAGTCTGCCTGTACCGTATTATGATTATTTCACTGTGTTGCCTCCTTAACCTTTCGGTGTCGTGTAGGTGGCGGTGTTTCTTGGCAGGGCTGCAAACATCTACCCCTTGTCCTTCCTCCTCAACCTGGGCCGCAAAAACAAGATCGGATCCAACTTTCAGCACGTTATGATGTTTGCAGGTACGTAGCGAAGCACTCAGGCACGGACCCAAGACCTGGTTCCATTAAAATAAACTGTCGGGAGAATTGCGCAGGTCCTGTAGTTTAAAAAAAGGCACCAGCCTAGATAATGTGCAGAGACGGTCTCCTTGCAGACCAACAACACTCCTTCTCAGACACTATGAATAACAGCCCCTGCGTCAGTTGACATTTACTGTTGAAATATGCTAATAATAGAAATCCCCGACATGTTTCTGCACGCAGCTGTGTCTTTGTTAGTTCTCTACCTATAACCATGCAGAAAATTCTAAGCGTTCTTTAATGGGTTTAACAAACTTTAAAATACATAACTGATGAGTGTTTTTACATATACCGACAGCCACAGTGCATGAACTTGCCAAAAAATAACTGCAATAGTCTGGAAATTGTTAACCAAAGAACAGCAACATTAAGCTGAGATGAACGTGTTTCGGGGCTTTTCTGGGTTAATGATAAATGGAAAAAATGTGCACTGCCTCATTCTAGGTTTTGCACCTGTTTTTTTTTTCATTTTGATAAAACGCACACACGTACAGTTTTGTTTCCATGACAGTACACTGACTTACATTGAGTTTTCACCCTTGAACGTTTCTGTGTCCTGCAGGTCTGCGTGGGGCGATGACCTTTGCCCTTTCTATCCGAGACACAGCGACTTACGCCCGTCAGATGATGTTTTCAACCACCCTACTGATAGTTTTCTTCACCGTCTGGATCTGTGGAGGTGGCACCATGCCCATGCTGTCCTTTATGAGCATACCGTAAGCATCAGCATCTGCACCTATGCATCTATCTTTCTGTATGAGTTTCATCGCCTCTGTAGAACTTTTTTTAAAAATTGGTGCTGCCTTTTCTGTTTCAGGGTGGGTGTGGACTCTGATCAAGAAAACTCTGTAAGTGATTGGCACCAACGTAAATGTCTTACTTCATTTGATCATGTGTGGTTTTCAAGTGCCTTATTAGTTGCCTTGCCCTATGAACAAATGTATAGTAACTCACTGACAATGTCCTGTTAAGCAGAGTTCAGCTGTGTTGGATGGGTCACAGCGGAGGAACACCAAACACGAGAGCGCCTGGCCATTCAGGATCTGGTATAACTTTGACCGCAAGTATCCTTGAAGCTACGGGTTGCTCTCTGTTATCATGCCTTTCGAAATGTAGCTGCTTAGTTCAGTTTTAAACAAAAGAGGGTGCTATTTACACACTATACGACTGTATTTCTGTACAGGAGGGTAAAGGATACAGCACTTAAGTTTTTATTTTTTTATTTTAAAGCCATACAAATTTAGCTGAAAAGATCTTTTAGTACTGTTTAGTAAACATGTTTAGGTTACATGTGATAAAGTTCACACACTATTTTCCAAAAACATCTAATATTCTTTCAGTTGTTGTAGGTGATTTGTTGTTCCAGGTAGATTTGACTGCTGACTGACCGGGTAAGTGCATTGAAATGGTTTAGTCCTTGACAGACGCTTGTTCACCAGCTACCTGAAACCCCTGCTGACCCACAGTGGCCCTCCTCTCACTGCTACTCTGCCTGCCTGTTGTGGACCACTGGCACGATGCCTCACCAGCCCACAGGCCTATGAGGTTTGGATGTCATTTATTAAAGTGACACATCAATTAAAGCCCAATCAGTGACTTCTTGACTTCAGATATGTACAGATACTATTGATGTAATTCTTGAAATTGACATTTTTGTATTCCCTTGTTCAGTCTCACCTTAATTATGTAAGTGTTCAAAACACATTTGAAAGTTAAGATTTAGTGTCTAGTGGTATTTCATGTGCTGAAAGAGCAATTGAGGAGTCTTATACATGTTTCTGGAGGGGCTCCCTTTCCATTTGGACTGTGCTTTTATGGGGGGTAGCAGATCTTTTTTGCGTTTGTCTACACATTTTCATTCGCTTGCTTTCCTCCCTTTCCCTCTCCACTCACCAGAACGAAGGCCAGCTCCACGACGACGACTCCGACTTCATCCTGAACGACGCCAGCGTGAGCTCCATGTACGCAGACGTCACCGTCAGCACGGACGCATCCGGATCGCGCACCGTCAACCCCAAGCGCTCCTCCGCCGCCAGCACCGGGGGAGGCCCGTTCGACGAAGGTCTGGATCACGAGCTGGCCACAGCGGAACACGAAGTGGCGATCCGGGGCACTCGCCTGGTCCTGCCCATGGACGACCCCGTGGAGCCCCCGACCACCGTCACCCTGCCGCCGCCGCCATCCCCGCCGCGCTCCGAACCTCGCAGGCACAGACTGTGAGAAAGATCGCACCGTCAGGATGCGGTTCGTTGTTTTCAGCTACAAAAATCACACACGATCCGAAGTTGATGTTTCAAGCAAAAGGAATCTTTTATTTAACGTGTTTTTGATCAAAACAACAAACTGCTTGTGTTGTATGAGTCCTATTTACGTCTCATGTTAAGGGGACCACTTCTCTGTCTAACATGCAGTTTTAAAATTGTTTCTGCTTTCACAAACTTGAGATGTGATTGAATTAACCCCCCCCTGTTGGGGTGGACTATTGTAACTTTGAATGTGAATGCACTACATAGAAGTTGAGGTACTTCAAGTCATGAACATCTCAAGTTTAGATGTTACTTAGAATCATATGAGATGCACATTTAGCCACTACAAAGGAGGCTAAGAGTGGGGCTGTCGTCTTCTCTCCTACGTTTGTACTACTGTGGTGATATGCCAGTGCTCTTTAAAAGCCCCAGGTCTTGCAAGGTGCGTGGGTCGACCCATAAGACAGCTGTATATGCAGTTTACCTTTCTCTCTGTGGTGGTGAAGTTCCTACTGGTGACAGTTTCTGTATTTGTCCAGCTTCCTTCAGGTACTGAAGATCACAATCACCCCGAACACTCCGCTCTTGTAACACTCAGTGCTGTTTAGGAGCATTTACGCTACATTTACGTGACTAACTTCACTAACATAGATTGCTATCTTTCTCTCCATCCCCATTTGTTTGCCTCCCTCTCAGAGTTCATTAGTGCAGGAGGTTCAAGGAGGGCTTGTGATTATCAAAGGAGGGAGCAAACGGACAGACGGTGACATTTACTGTGGGAGTGGTATACATATAAGATTATCGGTAGATACTGATAGGTCAAAAGAACAACACCATAAAAACTCACAGCGCGCGGGAGCCAGTCTACACTGATTTTAGCACTGCCCCACCCCTTCTCAGTCTTTTTACTCATTGATTTATTTATTAAACAAAAAAAAAAAGAGAAAAGATTTATTTATGCAATGATTTCTTTCGTTTATTTATTATTTATTTATTGTCGTGTAGTGTGGCGTTCATGACTGCGCAGTGGTGAAAGAGTGTTGTTGTTTTTCATCAAGAAGAACAAAGCACTATGAATTTTTCCCCACAAGGTACATTGTACAGTCAGAAAGTCACAGTGGAGGTGGATATTCATTCAAGGAGTTTGTGTGCATGTTCAAAAAAACAAAAACAAAACAAATATCTCCTTCCCGTACTGTAGCAGATGCTTCTACTTTACAGTTGGAAACTAGAGCTTCCCTGTGTGTATTTTACTGTAACTGTAAGTATGTATGTGTGTGTGTGTGTGTGTGTGTGTGTGTGGCTGATCTGGCCATAATGTGGTTATTAGGGCTAATGTTTGTTTCCAGGTTTTCTGCCACCATCTGGTTGAATCTTCTTTCTTAAAAAAAAAAACAACCTAAAAGTAACTGCCGTGTCTTTGTGATGTCCTATCATCAAAGATAACTGAGGGCTGGCTGAACTGTTTTGAATTAAAGTGCCTATTCAGAAACTCGACTACTTAATGTAGATTTGTACATATTTTGATTTGCTAATGTGCAGTAAGACATCTTTTTGGTTTTTATATGACTTTAAACCTTTTCAGTGATGTTGAATCTTTCCCAGTGCTCCCACTATAAATAGGCCACGAGGTGACTGCTTGTGGTGTAACTATCTGTGCATTCAGTGGTGGAGAACCCAAAAGAGTGCAAACTTTAAATATTGTGCATCATAGAAAACAACACTAAACAGTTTGTGAGCAGTGTACTTCTACTTTATCAAAAGGTATATGTGTAATATTTCAAAATAAAATAATACTTAGGAGCTGAATATCAATTTGAGAGTCGAGGAAAAGGTACCAGGAGGATGTCTCTGACGTTTTACTGATTCTGTGTTGTGCACTTTTTTTTGGAAACTGACCTCAGTGAGAGATACTTTGCACTTAGATATCTCCTTTGTTAACTGAGACCCTTGTTTGTCTTGATTTCTGCTGAGCAGGCCTGTCTAATACAGTAATTTTTATGACTGAGTTGAAAGTTACTTTCTGGTCAACAATGATATCATCATATATGAAAATGTTTTTAATTGTGTCAAGCTGCACATGTGTTGTCTTTTTGATCTTTAAGCAGTATTCTTAATATGAGGGTTGAGGGTTTTTTTTTTTTTGTTTTTTTTTTTGCATATTCATCCAGAGATGTGGACATGCATCTGTGTCCTTTGATTTTCCATTTCTGGATTAATTGTATTTGAACAATGAAACCAAACCCATACTTCTATTTCTATGAGAATTCTGAAGAAACTGTTGTAATCTTATAATAGCAACCACATCTAACACTAAAGATCTGAAAATGTTTCATGATGTTTCTGCCGTTTGTGGAAACTGTATTTGTGAAAAGTACACCTGCAATAGGTCCGTAAGTGAATGTTTTTAAAATGTTGAAGGGGGAAATAATCTCTGATGATATCGATTTTTTTGTTTGTTTTTCCCCTGTGTAGTTCTGAAGTTTAACAGTGTGTCTTCAGTCTGACATCTTGCGAGTGTACTGAAAGAAAAAATAAAAACACCTTTTGAAATTGACACAGACTTGTTCTTTGTAATGCTTTTTCACACACATTTTTGATGGATAAAATGTGTAGATTATTTATCTTTAGCGATAGGTTGAGCAGGGATTATATGAAGAGTTGGAGCATACTAGGACAGCCTAAATCCACAGAGGTGTACTTTAGAGAACTGCTGCTAGTTTTACACGTAAAAACCCACTTTTTTTTTTTTTGGGTCCAAGTCAGGTCTTAAGTTTTTTCAGGAAGACTAAACAGTCAACGCGTCATTGGCTGGATTTGAGTTTGTCATTAAGGATTTTGTAGATTTACTGCAAATCAGCCTTTTTTACACGCAGAATGTATAAATGACAGGTTTGAAAATCTTGATTTTAAAGTTATGTTAAAATAGTTTCTACATAGCAGAGACCAACAATATTTGAGTTTGGTGGTTATACAAACCTGCTTATCACTGTAATTTTTACATTTTTTATTCCATACAGAACTATAATTATTACTAATGAGGACATCGTGATCACGTCTTCAGCACTACTTTGGGGCCTTTACTGTACGATATCCCTCTTGTTTAGATTAGAACCCCTTTTCATAAATAGTTTTTCATAAATAGGACTGTGTTTCAAGGTTTAGAGTTTCTTACTGACATGGTTCTGCAACATAGAACATCCATCCATCCATTATCTATACACCTCTCAAATAGTTAGGGACAATAAAAAAAGCAAAGATTTCTTTTTGGCTATACAATCAGATGTATCACTTTTTGGCCACTTCTTAATCAGATTAAGGCTATTGGCCATAATATACTCCAGGGTATAAAATAACCTAAAATAACCAAGAGGTTATACATTTATATTTATATATATAGTTATACTATATATTTATCTAATTGGCCTTTCTTTATAGAAATCTAGTCTCTGTTATTTTTTGTAAATTCTTGCCAAAAAAAAAAAAAGAAGCAAAAATCAACTTGATTCAATGGTGAAAAATATCCGCTGACTTTTATTTTGAAACCCCCCCCGTGCTTGTGTGTAGGGGGGGGAAACGTGACAACTACTCTTATTTTGAAGGCGGAGCTGTGAGCCTCGCTCCGAACCTGCTGCTGCACAGCTGGCAGGATTTATAACGTGTGAGCGGGTCGTCAAAGCTGCGCTGCCTCCAAGGAGCCGCTCATCCGCCGCCGCAGACATCACTCTGATCCCGGTAAGATGACTGACGAGCTCCGCTGTTTGTTACCGCCAACATCCTCCGCTGCTGGAGCCTGTTTTTTTTTTTTTTTGTTTGTTTGTTTTTGACAAAGAAACCAACAAGTTAGGCTGTTTTCTAGTTTGGGGGCATAAACGTTACATGGCGTTTAAGTGCAGATGTTTCCACACTGCAGGATGGATGTTGTATGTGTCCACTGTAAAGTCAGCGGTGATCATCAGAGCTGATCATCTGTGGTTCTGTGTGTGGCACTGAGCCTCTTTCACATGTTGGGATTTCATGTACACTTCTTTTTTTTTTTTAAAGCAGTATTTTGATATGCACAGAGGAAACTCGCCTTAAAGTTGTCTGGGGCGTTGGCTGTCTGTCTGTCTGTCTCTATAAGTGTGTGTGTGTGTGTGTGTGTGAGCTACAGTTACATGCTGACTTGTGAAAGCCTGGGCTGCTCCTGAAATCTGTTTCCAGTTAGGAAGTCTCATTTTTTTTTCACCCAATGATGGAACCACTGAAGCTAAAAAATGCTTCACAGAGGTCAATTAAAATTCCTGTACTGCTACTTTTTCGTTGTCCACCATGTGTGTGTGTGTGTGTGTGTGTGTTCATATCCATGTAAGTGATGCACATGGCTCCAGCAACAACATTCAGGCTCTTTTTTTTCTCCATATCACATACTCTGTAAAAGTAAATGCAACTGTAATTTCTAGAAAGAAAACCACAGTTGTGCATAAGTAAAATATTTTTTTCCCCACTACAGGATAGGAGGAACATCAAATTGGACATTAAACATGAAATTAAAATCAGTGAAAATGATATGATTCCAATATCTTGCTGCGTATTGAGTGGAATACACACAGTGACACATGCACAAACACACAAATAGCAACTAAAAACCAAGTCTGACCTCTCGCTGCCCGACACACACACACACACACACACACACACCAGAAGGCCTTGGGGAGTTTTTTTTTTTTTAAGCAGAAGTCGAAGCCGGTGAATGCATGTTAAAGAAATTACCATGAGCTCAGTCCCATAAAATACATCACAGCCTCATAAAACTTTATGCCACTGGCCTGACTTCACGTCACAGTAACTCCCTGTTGTGTTTCTCCTGTTGTGAGTTTAATAGGATCGAATGTAAATAGGATGCAGACGCTGTGTTTGTACTTTTCATTGATCCCCGATGCAATCTGAATATTTTAGTAGCGGTTTTATTGGAGCTTTTTTATGGACTCCTGCAGCTTTAAGAGTCTGACAACATGAAAGTGAAATAGGCTTTCATTGAGAAACTTGGCAGTGTGTAATTTTTGTCTTGCAGCTAATAAATTCTGCACTGATGTGTTGCGGTTGTGATTTGTGGGATGCAAAGGAAGGAATCGAAGATAGGTAAGTGGATGAGAGCATCCCAGGCCATGAGGATGTCTGGAAGACAAATCATATAGTTGCTTGTTGCAGATCTAATTAGAAAGTTAGAAGAGTTGATGAATACTACTTAAAGTGGTATAGCCAGCAGGTGTTAGCTTAGCTTAGCATAAAGAGTGGAAGTAGAGGGAAACAGCTAGCCTGGCTCTGCCTGTCCAATCAGCCATCATGAACTTCAAGGCTCATTAAATTAATACACTTGATCCTTTTTAAGCCATGCAAAAGCATCAAACTGTGGTTTTATTGTTACTTTTTGTGTCACTGTGAGGTTGCCTGGCAGCAAGTTAAGACTGACAGCTCAGTAAGTGTTAAAAAAAAAGAGAAAACGTTTCCTCAACAGCTTTACAATGATGTCACTGTGACAAATATGAGTTACTGGAAATAATGCAAGTTGTGTCAATGGTGGGAACAGGATGTTTGGTCACCCTAGCTAATGATCTAATGTTTGGTTTGTGAAATTCATATGTAGGTGTGTATTTTTCAAAAAGAAATTGGTTTAGAAATGGTTCGGCTCACACGAGGAGCTGGTGACTGTTGTCTGGGTTAGAATCTGGAAGAACAGTTAGACACTGACATTTGCAGAGATTTTGTTGGTTGCAGATTTATGAGAGGAGACTGGAACAGTTCGAAGGGAAACGAGCCCACGAGACGTCATGAGATAGTTTTAGTGATAAATTTTACCATTAGATTTGAACCTTAGGACGTTCTCCTGACAAAGCTCTCTCTTACACACACATGGAAAATGTCACGGACACTTGCGGAAATGGAAATTGGTCATACATTTGTTTTTTTTTGTTTTCAGCTGCTCTGAAAGACTCCTCGGTTATGAGCGCAGAAACTTGAGTGTGTAACTCAAGACACAGCGAGGCAGGTTAGGAACATCTAACCAGCAGCTTCTGGTAAAGCCATCACGTCTGTCCTGTCGTAGTGGGACGCGTTGTGTTTCTTTCGGCTTCGCTCTACATGCCTCAGATCTGTTGTATCAGCTTTATTCCGCAGTCTGGAATGTGGCTCACCGGAGCCAGATAAAACAATTATTCAATCTGACTTTGCAGCGTACAAATGTTTAGCTGAACTCGCTGCTCAGTTTCAAACACTGGTGTGTGTTTGTTTTTCAGATAGCGTGATTAGAATCAGGAGTGGGAACGCTCTCAGTGTGATGTTGTTGGGCCACGATAAGGCAACACTGATCCCTGAAGGTGCTTTTTAGCAATATTTGTGTCCTAACAATGGATCAGTCGGCCATGTGTAATATGGAGGGGGAATGATCCCACAGCTTTTACAGTTCAGCTCAGCTCTACTGAGCTTTTTAGTGTCTTTCAGCTCATTGTTGTAGCTTTCAGCAAAATAGGCTTTAATAAATTCTCTTAACACGAGCTGCTGAGCACTAAACGACAAAGAAAGAAGCTATTGAGCACGTTGTGAACACAGCAAAACTGAAGAGTTACATAAATCGCAAAGAAATAGAGTGAATATAAATGCGACAAGAACCATGACTCTATATGACTGCTTATACTGCTGTGTCCGCTAAATACGCAGGCTGTGTCCGAAATCACCCACTATATCCTATATAGTGCACTATAGTTACCATTTTGTAGTGCTGTCCGAATGTTAACTTACAAATGTTACACCCTACATAGTGCACTCAAAATATCCCACAATGCACCGTGAAAAGTAGTGTACAGCCGATGGTCACTAACCAAGCAATATGGAGCATTATGCAATGCCCAAAAGGAAATGTAAAGACGAACGAAAGGGTGAAAACTTGTCATTAAAATGTAAGTAGGTTCCCATTTATGCTTTGTTAATTTTTATTTTACCCGTTTCTTAGCTACGCAATGAACTGTGTGTTTGTACTACGCTGTTACGGCACAAATCGTGGCTAGCTCGAGTAGTGTCCGAAATGTTACTTTGCCGAGGTGCTCCCTACATAGGTCACGACATAGTTCATTATATGGTGGTGCCTGGATGATTTTGGACACAACTGCCGTTTTTCCAAATTATAGATTGAAGCACTTTTCATTGTGTGCCACAATAGTTGGGGACAGGAAGTGCAATGTAAAGGAATGCAAATTAATTCAAGTTTTTTAGTTTTTTTTACCCCGCTGTTCTGCTTGATTCTCATTTTATACAACTAATTTTCTAGAGAAATAAAAATTTGCAAAAAATAAACTGCCTACCTCAACCGGACTCTTTTAAAAAACACAAAAAAACTCAGCTACAACCAACAATCAAATTAAAAAAAATAAATAAATAAAAAATGGAGGGACTTTTTGGCTGAACTGCAGGCTGTGTTTACTCGGAGCATAGAACTAATATAGTAATGAGAATACAAAGCAAAAATGCAAACAGTAAAATATCTACACTAAGTAGAGCCACACTCTTTTCCCAGTATTGGTAAAAACCTGCGGACACTGCATAAATATGCAACATGCAAAATGTCGAACACAGTGGTTCCATGTTTTTTTTCAGTTTTTGTAAAATAAATAATCAACGAAATTCAACTTCACTTCATTTAATGGCCTTTTCCTGGATAAGATATTTGTTTGAGTTCTGTCTACTTCTAGTCATAGTATTTCAATGCAGGTTGCAAGACTTTAGAATGCAGTTAAAAATGAGCCTACAGTGAATAAAAATGTGACTGGAGCAAATAAACACTCTAAACTACTTGGAGTTCAGAAGGTTAGGGCGATTTCTTCCCAGCATCCCTATATAATAACATGTTGCTATTCATGCCTTGCCTTGACATTTAAACAATAAGCCACCCCTTATTATGACGGAGGGAGTTCATGAAGTGCCATTAGGATATGAATCCAAGTTTATTGTTATTACTTGTTATCCAGCCCATTATTTCATATCTAAATGCCGACACAACAATAGGTGGAAATGCAGATAAAGTTGAGAAGTCAAAGAGACACTTCAAGGACTGAAACAGTTCAGATGTGACGTGTAGGTCAGGCTGCACGCAAGTATAAGATAAATATTTTGTACATTCACAGTTCTAACCCTCTGCTATTTTTAAACCACCAGGAAGTTCCATTAAGAGACATTTTCTGCAAACCAAGTCAGTGATTAAAGAGATTTTTCAGACAAGTCAGGGGCACTGAGGTCACACCTGCAGCACAGACCGAGTGACGTAAGTTCAGCCAGGGGTTTATGGTAACGCGAAGCTGCATTAATGACATTTGAAAGTAAACACAGACAGTAATGGCCGGTGCACTGAACAATTGTCGGTGCGTACCTGGATTGTGCCAGCTTCTGTTGGAGATTTCCTGTTTCTCAGTTCCCCGCTACATTCTTGGGCGATAAGCTCATGCCAACACACACACACAGAAACACACAAAGGGTTGATACACTCCAAAATAATACACCGCTAATATACTATTCCAGTTTGTCACGTTCACTCCAGACAATTGTCTTCACTTTACGTGCTTTTTTTACTGTGCTGTTGGTCTCTTTCTCGCATTTTTAAATGTGTGCATGATTTTCTCCTTGTCCACATGACATGATGTCATTCCTCCGCGCTCTATTTTTACACCACAGATCGGGTTGGTTTGGAGAAACTGGTTTAAATCAGG